AGAAAATAATTGAAACCCATTATGTATTCTGTTAAGGTTATATACGGATAGTGTTGCTTGGAATTGCATGTCATCTTCTCTACCTTGATTGGTATTTAGAAGGTTCATTCATGTACATTGTATTCATCGTTTTGGATTACGTTGACGGATATTACGCACGCAAGCTAAACCAATGTAAGTATGGTGCATTCAACTTAAGTAAATGTTCGCCCCCCCCCCCAATTCGAGACCGCCTTTGGGTGCTGAAATTCAGTGGCGTATCTAGAAGTCTTGAAATGGGGGCCTGGTGGAGTAGGGGGCACGAAGTGAAGTGTTGGCTCGGTGATCAGTTGAGGGGCGTTAATTCGCAAAATATGGTGATTTTAGGTGATTTTTAACTACTTGACCGTGATTTTTGTTGAAGGCGACTAGGGTGAGGCGCGAGTAATTTGGGGGGGTGTGCGCCCCCGCACCCTCCCCTAGATATGCCACTCCTGATATTTGGGGTGGTTCTCATTAATATATTGAAAATTGCTATTTGGTCCTTTGAAAAAGTGGTCTTGAAAGGGGTCTCAGAATTAGTGGGTCTCGAAATGGAGGGTGCACAGTGATCAGTAAATGCTAAACTTACTTTTTTATATATATATAGCAGAACAAATCATCAGATTTGATTTAACTGGAGCATTAAATTGATTTTATTGTTCTTCCTGATAGGTACCGTATTTGGGGGACTGTTTGATGCAATGATTGACCTTCTAGGGGAAACGCTGATGTCGATGCATATCGCAGTACGATATCCGAGCTACATCAATTTGATACAGTTTCATATTTTTTTTGCTCTGGGTTGTGAATGGTTATCAACAAGGTAAGCATTTGGCTGTATTTTATCTTTAACGTTTCTTAACCTCGTGGATATAATAGGAGTGGATCAAGAATTTTTGCCGGGGGCACAATAGGGAGTCCAAAAACCAGTGAACCTCGACAAAATTACTGGAATTTTTCCTCGACGAGAGTTATGCTCCCCCTACCCTAGAAACCCCTCCCCTCACGAACGTCGCGAAGGCCTAGTCGAGGACCTATAGTCTATTCTGTGCCGAGCGCAAACCTCTAAAATTTAGAACCCAATAGTTCAAGAGGAGGATTTGTGAGAGGTGTACCCTTAGGGCCCGCATCAACCATGGTTAACATTTATTATAATATTTAAGGTTTAGGACAACAGTATAGGGGAAAAAACCAGAGGTTGCGCCAGGATTTCCCCTACGGGGGGGGTGGTCCAAAGTCCCGAACCGGGAGCCGATGTTCCCGACGAGAACAAAGTGGGCGTGGTTGGGGGTCGCTAAAAATCCTTCAAAGTGGTCCTGGTGGCGAAGCCCCCGAAAAAATATGATAATTTAGGGGTTTCAAAGGCTTATTTAATCGATTTTTTTGTCTAACAATATGTAGAAAATGAAAATAAATTCCTTTTCTCTCCAACGAATTGTTTTTTCTCCCGACGAGGGCGGGGAAACCTCTCCTTGACCGGAGTAGGGTTTGGAGTCAATTTGAAAGGGACATTTTCAACCATGGATAGCTGTTCTAGCTGGGCCATGATATACCGCCGTAGTTCTCCGTCTTTTGGCCATTTTTGACATCCTGACTTGTGAAATCGTTGGACTAAATGTGTTCAACGTCAATCAATAGAAAATTAAAAATTAGTGGTAAAATAATCGAGCACCCATTTCGCCCACTGCTGGATCTGCCATAGAAATCAAATCATAGCTGAACTCCCTTTATTCTCTTTCTTTCCTACCTTTTCCTCTTAATATTTTTCCTCCCTCGTTTTTTTTTGTTTTGTTTTGTTTTTTGTTTTTTTTTTGGTGGGACTGACGTGGGGGCACGAGTTCCCCATTGTATCTGAACAAGGTAAAGCTGTAGTTTGGTGAGAATGATCATCTTAAAATGCGTGTCTTCCAATCACAGGTTCCTGAATTCAATTCCTGTCAATGTCACAAGATTTTTTGCACGACCAAAAACTCCACTTTGTAAGCTCAAGATATCTTTGAACAATGCGCCTTAAAAAATTAAATAAAATCAAGAATAAAAATAAGGACAATTTTTATAGTCTCAACAAGGCTTAAGACGTAATTGACAATAATATAGTACAGTACATCAACTGATAACATTATTTGATTTCGAATTATGAAAAGTGTAGTCTGTGGCACCGAGACCTCTGATGATTAGTACCTAAAAATGTTTACAAAACGTAATGCAATAATAACATATTGAGCATTATTTTATACTTTCGGAAAATATTTCAGCCACTCCGAGTCACTTTCCTATTCTTCCTTTATTCTTTCACATAGGCCTACTTTTTATTCATAATTTTATATACTAAACACACGCTACGGTAGGCTTAGGCCAATGTTATGCCTATTACTATATTATTTAAATATACAGATTTAATAGGAAACATAATTTAACACGAATGTAGTAATTCATACTTAAACAATACATTAAATTAAAATATAAATAACATATTTATATATAATAATTAATGTTAACAAATAAATAACAATAATTAAAACGTGGACATTGTGCAATAAGATTACCATTTTTCAATCTTATAATCAATTTTATATAGCCAGAGTTATGTATTGACCTAGGCTCATATGGCTAACGACAGGTACGCTTTCTCCATTAAAAAGGCTTTTTCTATGAATGGAATGAACGAGCTCCTATAGACAAACACAATAAAGTTAAGATTTTAATCGTGCGGGAAATACACTCATGACGATTTTCATAACAGTTTTCTACTAACCAGTGGTAATATATATAATGATATTTGAACAGATGTAATTAAGCGGTAATAATGTACAATGGAGAAAGTAACAGTTAGGCTTAATTAAAAATCAATTTAAGCACACCGTAAAAGCTCGATGATTTGATTGAAAGATAAACAGCAAAACAATACACAATAGATCAGGTAATAATATGAGAGGGAAATACTACAAGTATCAATGTTTTACCTACCAGTGGTAATATAAATAATAATATATATTAATATATAATATATATATATAATAAATATATAATAAATATAAATATATATAAATTTTGTAAACAGATGTATGTCTGTATATATATTATATATATATACATATATATATATATATATATATATATATATATATATATAGACATGATAGACATAAACTCTATATATAAGGTATCCCGCGTAGCACCATGAACAAAATATAAACAAAAAAACAGTGTTCGAATGATGAGGAACATGATGCTATAATCGTATCAAGCATAGCCCTTCAACGAAAAGTTCCTTTTCTATTCAGTTGTATGAAAAAAGGTGTCTTCCGTACCGCCAGAGACGATGATGATAATGATAACGACGACGACGATGATGATGATGATGATAACGAAGATGGCGATAATGATGATTGATGATAATAATAATGAGCAGATGAGGAGGGCAATGATGATGGTGACGACGACGAAAATGGTGATGAATCGTAACAGAGGAAACTGACAAAGAATTGTAAAACGCAAATCAACCTGCACCACTGGGATACGAAGCCGGGAGCTTTCGTATACACGGCGACCGTCATTCTACGGAAGATATTTGGGCTAAAATAATTGTCTTTGTCTATATAAACGACAAAATGAACTTATTGGGGAAATGGAGTGGTAAAAAAAAATATACAATGTTAACAATAATATCAGTGGATCCATCCGGAACAATAGATTAATTATTGGATGAGTGTGCGACAGCGTCACCATATAACATCGGGACTCAAAACGCGTCAGGTTGATGCCAGCGAATTCATTCAGCTCGGTTACTTAAATCTGCAGATAGAAAATTGCAGGCATTTATAATTTTCATCATGTTCTTATAGGACTTTGCGTCTAGACATAATCGCTTCATATTATTTGCCAATTTAACAAATATGGAAAAAATGTAGGCCTGTTAGTGTTGAAACGGCAGTGCCGAAAAAACCTCAAAAGGTTCCAGGCTTCTCTCTCAACATGTGAAAATGTCAGCTGACGAGCTTCTTATAAGACATCGTATTATTCGAAATTTTTCAAGAGGATTTTGACGGGGCGTTTACTGGAGCGGCTATTCGCGGAATGCGATTATGTTTTTTATCCTTTGTGTAAAATGGATATCCAGAACATTAGATCCTCAATGTCAGCAATCAATTAATTATCTAGTGAAAGATTTGTACGGTACTGCTCATTCCCGTAACCAGGGGGATAGGGATAGGGGATCGGAGGATAGGAAGATACCCCCACGGAACTGAGGGTTAAATGAGATTTAATGGATATGTAAAGTGGTGAATTATAATGTTTGTATATATTTTCTTGATTTTGTCTTTACAGTAGTAATAGGAAATTTGGCCCTCCTAGGCTCTACTTTCTGTTTATTTTCGTGTGTAATGATTAAATGCTCAAATTTTCCCACAATAATGCTAATTAAAATTTCATGAAACAAAAATTTATCACAAAACTAAAAGTTAGTAGTATTTGC